AACTCGGATAGGGAGTGAGAAGCGCGCATAATTAAAATAGGTCACTTGAGGCTTAATTCAGTCTTAATTGCACAACTGTCGTAGTAAGGGCGATAGTACGAGTTAAGCCTGGTAACATCCCCCGGTCGGCGAACACACCTACACAAAAAGATAAATCGCTCTCTCAAAACCCCCATTTAATTCCCGACCGTAACATTTGCTAGAGACACTTTGCCGTTAATGAAAACTTTGTCCTTTTCCCCATAGCATCGTTAAATGTTATTAAGAAAAAAATTTTGACAACTTGATCTTTCCTACACTGACGAATAAATTAGTGCTATTAATATTACTATGGATTATAACGGATTCAGCCACTTTAGTATTAGTGCGGACCTACTATCTGCTATGAACTCCGTTATAATTCCGTTATATTGAACAATGCCTCATTAAGCTCCGTTCATCGAAAAAAAAAAACCCCCCCCGGAACCGCGCTACAACGATTTAATAGTAAACTTTGTTATATCGACTTTCACTGGGTATAACGGAATTATGCGTGCAATCATTAAGAAGTTTATTATAACAAATCATACACGCAATTATGGAACTCGTACTATAATAGAGTTCATTGGTTGTGCTCAACCTTCCATTATAACGAGCTTTGACTGTAGCGCATTATAATTCGCCAAATTACCCAGTCTACCTTACATAATAACTGTATTAATAACTTTATTTAAAACTAAACGACGTGATACTCATAAAGCTCAAACGTTTTAATTACACTCTTTACTTTTTGAATACAGCTCTCGCTAATGCATTCTTTTTTAAATCCAACCTTTAAAATCTCAAGAGTACTGTAAAGATACTCAATTATTAAATTAAGACATTCTTCTGTAACACCAACACGATTATTAATGATTAATGACCTAAGGGGAGGATTCGATTTAGACAGAAACCTCTCCAAAAAATTTGTCTGAAAACTATCCACGCTTTTCAATTCCATTTGGTATAAATTGGGAAGCCAGTATTTAGATAATCCACTGAAAAGTAGGTCAATAGCCTGTTCATACCAAAACCCACTATTTGTTAACACGACAGAGTGCAGTTTGGGTAAATTGGCAATTATTTTAGCAATAAAAAATACAGTTTCTGCATTGATAGATACTGACAATAATGTTAGGTTATGGCATGACTCTATTATGGCTTTGCTACAAGTATTGGAAATTCTTTGTCCTGTGAGCAGTAAAGTAGTTAGAGCACCACCATGTCCATAAATAAACTTTGTCAATTCCTGAACCTTTGAATCATGTGTCTCGCAAACAAATTCCCTTAGAATTGGAAAATCAGCTGCCAACAGTGGCTCCCAGCTGCTATTTGAAATATGAGTACATGTATCTATCTTGATACACTTTAATTTGGAGAACTGAACCGATTCAACCTCTCGATTCTGTCTCAGTACCACTCCACTAAATGTGATGGATTCAAGAGAGTTGGCATGAGCCTGCAGCAAATCCAATATTGCATACATTTCCAAGTCTCCATGTTTGACCGTAAAAGATTTGAGCCTGTGTTGAGACCGTACCAGCAGCGCGATATTCTCCGATATAAAATCCACGTTTTGATAGCAATGGTTTATTGTTATGGATTCCAAATTCTGTGCTATTGTTGCAAGTTGACAAAGAGCGTCGTTTTCTGACATTGATGAGCCCCAGACAAAGTGTCGAAGCCGTGGCAAACTCTTGATAGAAGCAAAGCAGCTTTGCAAGTAATCGTGAGTAGACAGTTCTCTTGGTTCAAGGGAAAGTGATTGTAACTCGGTACAATATTGGGCCGCCATGGCAATAATCTTGGCAGTGATGCATTCCACTTTAGAGTCCTTGTCAGTGTGTATGGAATTTACGGCCTCATCCAGTCTGGACAAGCTCCAGACTACCGAGCAAACATCGGTCCAGTTCAACTCTTTGACATACTCGCTATAATCCAACGGCGATTTCTTGTCTGATTTTTTATTGTACAAGCAAGTTTTCTCGAAAATATCATCAAAGGCGGTAATGCATTCGACAAACGATTGCAGGAGATTTGCTGCTCGTTTAGACCTATCTGATTTCTTGTAGGATCGAGCGTTCTTGCACATTAAATTGAAAGGTTTGGCCCAAAGATACTGAATGGCTATTGCAAACCAATTTTTGTTGATTAGAGCGCATGAATGGAGTGTTGCGCCATCGTCAGCATACACGTCCAATATTGCCCTGAGAACCTCGTACGGTAACGTGACAGTCATTATTAAACAGACTATTGATAGGGACTTTTGTGTCGTTAGCAAAAGGGGGGAGGGGTATGTTGCTAAAGTGCGCCGAGAGATTTTTTTAATGAATGGCAAGTTCTTTATTGTAAATTCTTCGATATATATAGCTATGAATGCTGCGGGGTGTCGGAGAATAGCTGTTATACAAAAAATAGTGTAAACTATTACTATCAGATGACTTGGAGCGTGTGATATCAGAATAGAAACCAAACATACAATACTTTGATTGTTAATTAACGTTGGGGTTTTTGTTAAAAAAAAAAGGCCTACTATAAAGCAGATACAGTAGATAAGTGATTCTTGGCGTAGTAGTTATAATGGATTCATTTTGATGTGCATTTGCAAAAAGAATGTATCTACCCTCGCACAGCATCGGTCAAAATTGCAGTGTTTTCCGCCAAATTCCCACATAAATGCACAATTAGCTTAAAACAGGTCTAAAAGATCGTCGTATTTTACAGTAGGGTAAACTCGTTTATTTATACAGACAACGGACAAACCGATTTGTATTTATGGGCAGGCAGGCCATTATGATGTCAAGTGATAACAAGTTTGCGCTATTTCTGACTGGGGCAATGGACGACTCGCGCAGCTCGAATCTACGATAACCCAAATTGCATGCTTGTCAAATTCCCATTGAATGAATGGACAATGCATGTGGGGAGTTCAATGTGCTGCCATTCTTAGCAAAAGATTCCATTAACATAGATTATCTCTGCTATTTATACGCTTACACAAGACACACAGTTGTCACGGGATCTCATCACGAGCCTAATGAGAGAAACGCTAAGAAATATTGTAGATATTACTTTTTGCTGCGAAAAGAAAAAGTACGTTTTGAGCAATGGTAAGCTGGTTGCGAATGAGAAACACCTGGCTTAGATAGATAAATTGGCTAGAGGTATTAAGAGTTGTTGCTGCTCTACCCGTTTAGTAAAAAAAAAGTCTCTTTTAAATTGGGACCAAAAAACAGTCGAATACCCTACGCCCATACCTAGCCGCAGTTAGATCAACTCTGACAGCTGCACTCTGTCTGACAAACTTTGCTTCACAAGTCGTAGAACGACATAACAAACCCGAAATTGAAGCTCGGTAAGCGGACATTATACATCTAGCGAGAAAGCGATCTTTCGTTTTTTAGCCCTTCCCTGACCATAGCTCACTATTTTATTGCGATTTTCCCCAGATCCTCGGCTGAAGTAGTTCTCAACCCATTGGTAATTTCTCGCAATGAGAATGAAAAAGTTTTAATAGAACCGTCCGTGAATTCTATCCGGTTTTCGATCAAGATCAAACAAGCTGATGAGATAGAGAGGATTCTCTGTCATAAATTTACTAGATTCATGATGCTTCGTGCCGACAACTTTATTATTTTGCGAAGGAAGCCTATTTCGGTAGGTGAACCAAATACAACGTTTTGACATAATTATACGCATTGTATCGTTACTGTTGTTCTAATCGCTATAGCACTCTTCTATATAGGGTTACGATATTAGCTTCTTGATTACCAATTTCCATACCGAACAGATGTACAAACACAAATTAGTAGATTTTATTGTTCAGTTCATGGAAGAAGTAGATAAAGAGATATCCGAGATGAAATTGAGTCTTAATTCGAGGGCAAGAATTGTTGCAGAGTCTTATCTTTTGCAGGTGAGTGAGTGAGTGAGTGAATGAGAGTGTAATCGAAAGAAAAAGCATGTTCGTTCGTTCACCTTTTCTAGTTATTTTCCTTTTAGTTTGCGTAAACATATTCGATTTACTATATAGAGAAACCAACAACAAAAATATATGGTATTTAAGTCATTGGGGAAATTTTGGTCGTTATTTTGGTTGGAAACGAACATGCAGATGAAACCGATCAAGTATTTGCAAAGTAGAATTTGATTTTTACTTGCAAAGATGAACTGGAACCTACAAGGGGCACTCGGCTCATTTAACTGTCCAACAGCAGTCAATCCACATTTACGCATACATCATCTCCCAACGTTCATTCCAATGGTAACCAAACATTCACCCCTAATGAATCAGAACTTTTTGCATCCCCTATCATTACTCAACGAACCCCCTTCTAATGGCGGAAGACAATAACAAGTTCACTCCTCCCAACCCTATTATAGTCTGCCGACGAAGGCCTCTATGCCGTCGTACTTCCTTCCGAAGCAGGCGTATCCATTAAGTCTTTCCTTATTTTAAAGTCGGGACCGTATGGCTCCCCAAGAAGAGTAGTATATCCATTAGCTGGTTCGCAAGTATGCCTGCCCGACTGCGGCCCGGGTTTAGGATTCTTGGAGGCCTTTAGATCGTCGAGAATTTTTATAGTTGTTTCAGGTGTCAGATCTTCCTGGAAGGTTTTGGGTCCGCATGCGTGTATGTTGTGCGTATACGAATATGTGAGTTGCAAAGAATGTATGTAAATAAAGTCTTATTAAACCAAAAACAGACCCTCTCTTCTTGATGCTAAAGTTTATCCATCCTCCTTACTCACATAATAATCATCATTAACCGCCAAAACGGGGGCATTGACGCACGCTCCAGCACACTCGACTTCGACCAAAGTAAACAATTTATCTTTTGTGGTTTCACCCGTTTTAATTTTTAAATGGTTCTCGATGGTTTTCTGGATCTCTGTACTGCCGCACAACTGACATGGTGTTGTGGTACACAGTTGGAGAAAGTATTTTCCAACTGGCTCCCTAGAGTTGAGATGAGCAGATAAGCATAAAGTAAAAGATAAAGCTTTGATGCAAGAGTTGAAAAGAAAAAGCGTTGATACTGTTTGAACAAAAAGACATGATCTTGTGACTATCCTACAATACGATCTAATTCCTCTTTACACGACTCTTCCCACCATCACTATCCAACGTCTTTCCTTTACCGATTAAACATGGTATAAAATGTTGCAACTTCATAAACTCTCATAGGCGGAATTTCCGCCAATTTTGCAACAGCATTCATCACCGAGATGCTCGTCCATCCCAACTGCCTTTGTCCCAAGTCCAACAACGGTATGACCGCTGCCTTCTTATATTGCGGTGGGTATTTCTTTACAATTTCTTCTGCGCGCTTTAGATTTTCGGGAGTAAATTCAAAAGGAATCGAGGGATTATTTTCTGGAGTATCTGTGTGCTGTGTTTAAAAAGGGTAGGCAAGGTAAACACACAGGTTAAAAGAAACGAAAGGGTGTTGTGGGGATTGCGATACTCGAGAGGTAGTAGTGTCATTCATATTTTACCACGACCAGTTTGTCTGACAGTCTAATAGTAGATGTGCTCATACATCGTGTGAGGAGTGTTCGCCTCCATGTGGAGACTACTGGAGATCTAGTTAGTTTGAGGAGTGAGCGCGAAGTGTTCATGTTGAACTAACATTTATGAAAAAGAAATTACAATTTACGGTATTTCCTATCACTTCTTGTGTTACCTTCATCAAATATCTATGTCGATCTCAGGTTTTGTGTGACCCCGAAAAAATATGATTTAAGGGTGACTATAAAGAGGGTTGAGTTTCGCCTTATTGGTTTTCGATTACATAACTATCGTTACATTCAGGATTGAGAGATTTTATTTTAGAAACTTAGAGCTTTGATACTTCTCTCCCACTTATATGCGAACAATCGCACGATTAATAATTGGATGTTCTATGTTTAAACTATAATAACGTCAGATTCTTTTACAATGTATCAATCATGATATTTCGTAATCTCGCAGATACGGTATATCGAAATTGTTGATTTTCAACTAGCTATCAGTGATACTTCGATATCAACATAGTTTATTGTTCAATGCTACGTTGAATATGTCATATGTAGCTATAATCGTACGATTGTCTACTAAATAAAGATAGTAAAAAAAGCATATTTAAACAGCAATACTACGACAGAAAATAGTTTTTTACCTGCTCCTATGTCTTGGTTGATTTTGGATCTAATGCTAGCTGACGGCCACTCGCATTCATGAAGGAAAATCGAAATGTACACAAAGATACAAGATTTTAACTGGCGGGATATAATACAGAAGTCACGCTCCTACTACAAAAAATTGTATAATGTGCAAGACTCATATAGAGTTTGTTTACGTTTTTATCCCAAGCCTAAACAAAGGTCTCTTGTTCGCTTTGTTCCGTATTGTTTTACATCTGCATTTTTTCGACGAACATATAATACATCAGTTACATGAATTTGTTAATATTAAATTCCAAGAAGCGATTATTGTTGTAATAATAATTTAGATCATTCGGCTGATATAAGTTATGTGAACATCAATTATTAATCGACTGTAAAATAGTAATAATGCTTGAAAAATACTAGTATCTTTTTTTCTCGCCATAAAAGATTATTTGAACATCTAAAATAAATATGTAATGACAATATAAATCGGAGAGTATGTAACACAAATATTCGGAAAGCTAATTGCCACCACCAAATTGGAGCTCATTACAAATTAATATAATCAGTGGTTTGAAGACGTTACATTAACTCGAACAGTATTTAAGACAAACGGAGTTAGTAAAGAATGTTCCATCATTGAGAATCCTTTCCTTCAGAACGATGTCGTTAATATTAAAGGCGAATACAACAATTAACAAGCTTACATGGATTCCTTATTCAGAGATCAGTGGCATAGAATCAAGCCAACACCGTTTATTACGCTCAATGGGGTGGAGATAATATTTTGTTGCTACTGCTTAGTGATGATGAAACTCGTGTGAGTGAGTTTGCCAGAATATATTCGCTTCCAACATACAAATACACTGGTAATGTCTGTCAATTTAGGCGACATTCAAAATGGCTTGAGAAGCGCAACACAACAAACTCGTATTTGGATTTACCGAGTATAAAGACAAGTATTACATGGTTGCTCATATGGACTTTTACCACTATCATTTCCTCTATGGCTTCTGCTCTGCATGGTAGTCCTGTGTGGTGCATTTGTGGACATAAACAATTATCCGATGGATGGATTAACAGCAAAAGAAACTCGATGAGTTTATTAAGAAGTCCCAATACAAACGAACTCTGCAAATGAACCTATTTGGAATGGATTCCACGTCCATACCTGCAAATTTACTCAGAAATCAGACATTATATTCTTTTAATGTATTTAATGGGCACCGATGAATCGCCATTTAGAGATAGACAGTTCAATAGAGATTTAGTATGTGATATCATGCATGGTCTGCGACCATTGATGCCTGATTCAGCACCAGAAGAATACAAGAAACTTGCTCGGCGTTGTTGTGATGCTGATCCTGATACGCGTCCAGATGCACAAACACTTTATCATTCTTATTACCAAGGTGTGGAGCGCGGTTAATTCTGACAACAACGTGTGGAGCAAAACTTATTGTAGTGACGTAAGACCCTTATCACGTTCTGAGAAGGAAACTAAATATTCTAGTACGCTCTTACCTACAGGAGATTTGCCTAAATCAAGAAACAATTACTACAAAGTTTAGGAATAGAATTAGCCGCCAAAATGCTTCCTTGACAGCCAACTTTCCGTTCGGGTATTCTTTGCGTATTCTTTATAACCAATGGAGAATCTAATAGAAACTGATTGGCGCTGCTCTTCTCGGACGTCATCGTCTTCTGGGTCAATATGCCATAAACGCTCTCCAGGAAACTTTTACGTCAGTCCTGTTTTGTCTCGTCTATTCCGAGCAGCTTTCTGAATAACGTACTAAATACAAAATCCTTTATCGTACTCGGATGGGAGCACTTGAGACAAGTACCACGTAACTATTAGTTACATAAAGTACCCGTGCTGTAAAGATCCATCCGATCCGTGGCGTAAAGATCCATCTGATCCGTGCTGTGTAAAATTGCTTGACGGATCTCGTTGACAATGCTGAAAGCGGTGGTAAAATGCAAAAGGAGGCCACGTCAAGTAAGCGATGGATGTCGTAGTGAAATTGACTCTGTTGCCAAGTTAATAATTACGCCGCTGATAATAATAACGCATGACTAGTGTAGTACGGGTCTTATTGAATATTACCGAAAAAAGAAATGCCAGGACTATATGCAAGTGTGGTTACTGTTATATGAAAGGGAAAAATTGATAATAAGAAAGAGGCGAATGGTATTAAACCAAGAAAAAAGTGAATTTGAATTTTAAAATTTGTTTGGGACGAGTTGAGGTGAGTGAAGCCAGAGAACGGGTGGTGAGGTTCTAGGCTTTTAAAAACTAGTCCGCTTGCCACAAAGAATGTATATAGTGCGTCACGTAGTAAGCGTAATTCTTGATTCCGTTCATAGGCAAAACTCTGTTCTCCTTTTCTTTGACAAGTGTGATTGTAAAGGCTGGTAGCAAGAAAGAAACACCATATGGATAGAGAACGCAGCCTAAAAATATACCTGCCCCAATATTCATCGATGACTCCAATAAGATATGACATAACACGAAACCCGGCTTGTTATAACTGTATTCAAATTAGTAACGCGGTACTCAATTGTGAGTGTTGGATCGCTCTCCGCAAACCGTGGCCTGGAAACGGAATACTCTGGGCAATGCGATCATCACGTTCACGGATGGTATAATTCCACCCCAAGACACGCTTGTAACGGCTTAAGCGAGACTAACGGCCAATTGCGGTTGATTATCTAATAGTTCAGCGTCTTCCCCTCCAACGAGAGGTGGTACTGGTACGAGAGCTTCGGCTTCACATCATATTAATATTTGGTTTAAATACCTACTAAATATGGTAGGGGAAGTACTGATCTGTTAAGCGTTACACACGCTACAGTTATTAGTGTTGAGAATGCTTTGTACTTGAAAACTTCTTATTCGAACGATGTCCTTAGTTCCAGGGGTTAATAATC